TGACTGAGAAATGTGATTCATTAGTATTCTACTCATTAGTATTCTACTCACAACAAGTTAAGGAAACCCACAATGGCTGCATGTTGCAATATAAACCAGGTGGGGAAGCCTAGTAGTTAAAGCATTCGCTTGTCACGCCTAAGACCGGGGTTTGATTCCCCACATGGGTACAATGTGTGAAGCCCATTTCTGGTGTCCCCTGTCGTGAAATTGCTGGATTATTGCTAAAAATGGGGTAAAATGTAACTCACTCACAAACAAGTCCTGACAAAAGAAAGCATATGGAAAAGTTGGAGGATCTTCAGCCTCATTGGAGTGGTTGCTCTGGATTAGTTCTTGCTTCCAAACTGACATTATTCACAAGGTTCCAATATATGGGTGTGGTATTTACTGACTTTTAACAGCCTAGTCTCTGTGTAAAGGTTTACTTGGTCTCAATGGATATATAACAGCTATTATTAATTTTCCCCATGCATTCAAGTATTACATCTGTCAGAATAATGTGCTGGAACAATCATTATTCATTGATAAGCACTTAATTACATATCATATTTCCCACTCCATATTCACTAATTATATATATAAATATCATTGACTCACTCTCGGGCCAAGGTTCAAAAGTATTAAATGTGATCTATAGTTCAAGCTCCTAATTGTGAGAAGTGCAGTCAGGTGTCCAGTGGCCAGATCAACAAAGAGGTCTTAGCGCTGAGATGATTGTAGCCCCCATTATAGACTAACACATAGTCTCTGAATATATATATAATCTTGATAAACAAATATATACATTTAAACTGAAAAGGAGCCCCAGGGAGACCAGAGATTCAGAACCTGAGGAAATCTAGACTTGATTCATTTCGGCCTTTAGCATTGCAGAGAGGGCTAGGCAGTAGGGAATATAATGTGGTTCAGGGACTGTAAGACAGACTACTCCTGTTATTTCAACATTGGTTTACAGCAGTTGTAGAACTGAGATCACTGTGTGGAAGAGGACCCAGAGCCATCTCTGTGCCATTGTGTCTGATGTTTAAGTATTGGACTTAAGCCAGTCCTAGCACTATGAGAACTTTGTGAAACTGGATCTGCATGATTTGAACTTTGAACACGTTTCACTACCCAGTATCTCTAATCTAGGTCAGTCGGTGCTGTTGTTAATTAATTTTTATAGTGCTTTATAATACCGTGATTTCCCCCCAAGCATTTATTTGCACATTTTTTTTGTTGCCTTAACAAAAAAGTGAATTGATCAAATCATGAAAACAGTTTCCAGAGAGCAGACTTACTATTATATGTCTATGTCAAGAATTCTCAGCAGTGAGATCATTTTGTGCAAGAAGGTTCCTTCCAAGAGTCTCTTCCAGTTAATCTCCATTTGTAATACACCAGTAAGTGCAGCCTGAGGAGCAGAGGCAGTGGGGAGGCCTAGTGGTTAAAGGGTTCACTTGGATGCAATGTGTGAATCCCATTTCTGGTGTCCCCCGTCGTGATATTGCTAGAATATTGCTAAAGGTCGCATAAAACTAAACTCATTCACACCCACTCCAATTATATCTGATGATTGATGGTCCTGACTTTTCACTGACTCACTCACTCACTCACTCACTCACTCACTCACTCACTCACCACTCACTCACTCACTCACTCACTCACTCACTCACTCACTCACTCACATTAGACAGTTGCTACCCATTGACTGTGGCATGTCACATAAAACAGTCAATAACACAGGAATATTATGGATGACTTTAATATGCATACTTTCTGTATTATATGTCTTCAGATACACAGTAATTGTCCAGAGATGATAATGTATGTGAACTGAAGGTCATTGGTACAACTTGTATAATGAAATAGCTGCACTGCAAATATGATATTGAAAACACACTGTTTTCGAGAAACAATTTCATCATTGTTACATGTAAATTTTGTAGACTTCATGTAAAACATATTGAAGAAAAGTACTGTAAGCTTCAATAATATAGCCCTGATTGAATCTCTTTGGAGTAGAACATTGCACTTGTCATGAATAAGTCAAGTGGCAACTATTACATGCTGTTCACATGATCACAATATGCAGTACATTTCAAGATTTAAACCATATTAGTATTACATGCTGTTCACATGATCACAATATGCAGTACATTTCAAGATTTAAACCTTATTAGTATTACATGCTGTTCACATGATCACAATATGCAGTACATTTCAAGATTTAAACCTTATTAGTATTACATGCTGTTCACATGATCACAATATGCAGTACATTTCAAGATTTAAACCATATTAGTATTACATGCTGTTCACATGATCACAATATGCAGTACATTTCGAGATTTAAACCATATTAGTATTACATGCTGTTCACATGTTCACAATATACAGTACATTTCAAGATTTAAACCTTATTAGTATTACATGCTGTTCACATGTTCACAATATACAGTACATTTCAAGATTTAAACCTTATTAGTATTACATGCTGTTCACAATATGCTGTACATTTCGAGATTTAAACCATATTAGTATTTAAACCATATTAATATTACATGCTGTTCACATGATCACAATATACAGTACATTTTGAGATTTAAACCATATTGGTATTACATGCTGTTCACATGATCACAATATACAGTACATTTTGAGATTTAAACCATATTAGTATTACATGCTGTTCACATGATCACAATATACAGTAAATTTGAAGATTTAAACCATATTAGTATTACACGCTGTTCACATGATCACAATATGCAGTACATTTCAAGATTTAAACCATATTAGTATTACATGCTGTTCACATGATCACAATACACAGTACATTTCGAGATTTAAACCATATTAGTATTACATGCTGTTCACATGTTCACAATATGCAGTACATTTCGAGATTTAAAACATATTAGTATTACATGCTGTTCACATGATCACAATATGCAGTACATTTCAAGATTTAAACCATATGAGTATTACATGCTGTTCACATGATCACAATATACAGTACATTTTGAGATTTAAACCATATGAGTATTACATGCTGTTTTCATGATCACAATATACAGTACATTTTGAGATTTAAACCATATTAGTATTACATGCTGTTCACAATATGCAGTACATTTCAAGATTTAAACCATATTAGTATTACACGCTGTTCACATGATCACCCTATATAGTGCATTTTAAGATTTAAACCATATTAGTATTACACGCTGTTCACATGATCATCATATATAGTGCATTTTAAGATTTAAACCTTATTAGTATTACATGCTGTTCACATGTTCACAATATGCAGTACATTTCGAGATTTTGCAACATACAAGACTAAGGTGACAACAACAAATGCCGAGCAGCCTACCATAACCTGGGCATGTTTGTATATTTGTGCTTGGCAAGCTCTGGCAGCCAGAACATTTATACAGGCGCACAGTTTATTTGTGCACCAATCACTTCTTTAAAGCGACCCACACAAGTAGACCTGTGCAAGATGAAACATTGGGTTACTCTTACCTTCAACGGTTTTTATGGTGTTGCTTCAAAGACTGGAATTGCTTCTTGCTGGTTGGGTCAAAATGTGGAAATGTAGATCAGTGGATTTGGAGTGGTTTCTGACAGGTTGGAAAGGTTTCATTCCATGTTCGTGAGTGTATGATCGTACCCATGTTGTACTGAGGTGAAGGATTGTCAGCCTTTGTGGAATTGGGTTCTTTGAACATTTCTGTGATTTTCTAAAGGATTTTATGGATGCAGGGATTCCAATTTTACTGTAAAATGAAGGATTTTTAGATGGTAATGTTTAACTGTATAAAATGTGTAGTTTTGTATTGAAATAGACAAAGGTTAAAAACAATGAACAAATTGTAGGTCTGTAATTTTGTGTTTATTTCATGTTATGATATTACATTCTATGCAATATGAATGATATGTGCTTGTTGGAGTGTGACCTTCTCCTTCTATGAGATAATTAACCTTCAACTTATTAATTTTCCTGATGTGAAGATGGCATCAGTCATAGTGATGTAATGATTTTTCCTTCCTGTCTGGATCTTTGCCTGAATAACAAATAACCACTTGAAGTATATAAATGTCAAGTTCAGTATTTTTACAGGTGATTGTTTGCAGCTTTCATTTGTGCTACTCAAAATCTATCCTCAGCAAATGTCAGTAATGTGAGTAGGCCATTAAACTTAGGTACTGCAATTCACTGGCAGAGTTGCCTCCCTTAGTCTTATTGAGATCCTGTGATCAGGTGTACACTATCAGATTCATTGACGTTTGATCCTTGATCCTTTTTCACACTGACTGTTTAGGATATCCTCTAACCTGGCATGCCATGATATAACTGAAATATTGCTCAGAGTGGTGAAAAGGCTGTTGGGTAGCGTAGTGGTAAAATCATTAGCTGGTCACACTCTGAGATCCAGGTTTGTATCAACAAATGTTTGGAGCCCAATCCTGGTGTCCCTTGCTCTGATATTGCTGTAATATTGTCAAAGCTTCATAAAATCATACTCACTCACTCAGATGACATCCTTACCTTGTCAGCTTGCTGACAGGGTTAACCTCTTTGGTCATACGACCTTGGATCAGAAGGTCAGTGGTTCGAATTCCAGCACAGGACTTGGAAATTTTATGGCTGCTACATTGGCACCCAACATGGGGATGAGCACGTTCATGAAATCTGAGCAAAATTAGTCCCAGTACCCTGCTTGGCGGTCCGGCCATGCCTTCTGTTGACAGGGAAGTCTGTAGCAGGACGTGGAGTCATCCCATAGATGACATCCTTACCCTGTCAGAAGGTCAGTGGTTCGAATGCCAGTATGGGACTTGGAAATTTCATGGCCGCTACATTGCCGTATATGAGAATAAGATCCAGTTTATCCATTATGCATTTAATGAATACAAATTTCTTCTTCATGTCAGTAAATATAATTGCAATTTCAAAATATGAAAAAATCCTACAAATAAGGTCACTCTGATATTGATGCATGTTTCAGGTGAACAATGGACAGGAGATGATATAGACCTGATGTAAGAAGGAACAGCTAGGACTTGGATCGGATTGTCATCACACAACAGGATACTGCTGGAAGATGCATTGAGCCGATATGTGACCAATATCGGGTGTGTACCGTTACCTGCATGCATAATGACCTTGACCTTGTGGGAGTACTGTCGCCAAACATAGGATATGGCCGAGTTACTCGCCACCGTCTTCACCATCGTTACTCAAGGAGTCCTGCTGTTCTTCAGCCTGATGCTTATACCAGGTAGGCTAAATAACTGACATTTCCTCAAATACAGTTTCTTATGGCTTTTAGGGGGTAGCCTTGTGGTTAAAGCATTCGCTCGTCACGCTGAAGACCAGGGTTTGATTCCCCACATGGGTACAATGTGTGAAGCCCATTTCTGGTGTCCCCTGCCATGATATTGCTGGAATATTGCTAAAAGCAGCATAAAACTCACTCACTCACAGTATGTCTTTTGAAGAATCCTGCATGGAAGACACCGATGATCATGAGTTTGAATCCCAGTTTGATCTGAATTTGTTTCCAGGTTTGTCAGCATACATGCTAAAGGGTTTCTACCAAGTTGGAAACATGAGAGACCTCTATCACTCTGGACATTCTCCAACATGCGGATGACACATCATGCTATAGGAATATTGTTCATACTGACTTTAAACCCAACTCACTCACTCAGCCCTTCCTATGGAAGGTGATCAATGCCAAAATTACATTATGCTACAGGCTACTTCAAAGCTGTTAAACAATCCACAGGAATGTATTTGGTCGGCAACAGTGTCTAGGTGCTAGTTTAGTTTTGTCAATGTATTTTGTGGTGTTGCCAAAGGAAAAGAAAAGTCACATTTGACATTTATTTCAATGCCCTTTGCAAAGATATTGGACACGGTAAGAGCCAGTCTATGCTGAAAAGGGCTCTATTGCAGTGTGTGAAGCATTTGGTATGCTTTCGCTAGGGAGGAAGATTTTTTATCAAATAACTGCCTCCCGAGGGAGGTATCGCTGTGGAGGGATCAAAAGACATCTCAAGAGGTGATATCGCCTTACTGATCACCGATTGGTTGATGGACATAAGTGTCAGTGCGATCTCGAGGTTTGGATGTTCAAAGTGAACCTTGATGATTCTATCAGAGCGGATTTCTTTCCTTTACATAATCAAGTCCTTTAAAGGTGATTACAATGCTGTGACAAAGTTACTATCAAATATAGAAACTTAGGGAGGGAATAAATTTGACTGCTTGCCATGGCAACATATTCCCTGTCTGTGACATTGCCTGATTGTTTTTCAGTTATGATGTAACTATTCTTGAACAATGCTTTGTAAAACCGGAGACCGTATAATAGATCTATCATATGGTCTCTGGTCTCAGTGAGGTCATGGGTTTGTAAAACCTGATTTACGAGAATATGTAGTCCATCGGTTTTCCAGCACAATACCTGTGCTCATGGAATTTACCAATGTTGAAATGATGTTGCTATTCTAACATATCACCCTGACACAGGGATATATAGCAGCATTCACTTACTCAATAAAATTAGCAAAGCAGGTTGGCATTTAATAATTACTCAGAGTAAATACTATCCTTTGCCTATTAGAATATGCAAAAAAGTTCAGAAGTAAAAAGTTTTGATGTTGCACCTTTTTAGTACTGTTATTCTCTTATCAACATCTTTGGGTAAAGAAGTAAATGTTAGCCTTTTTAACAATCAAAGCTGTGTTTTGTTTTCTTATACCATGGTGATAAATTAACTGTGCTGTTATGTAAATATTGGGTGCTCTTTCACTTCTCTCAAACAGTATAGTTTATGAGCATCGTTCTGTTAAGTGAACATGTTTTTCTCTCACTAGCACCTTAGTGTATTTCACAAAGAATCCATTATGAGTGAAAATAATATTCCAGGCAATGGTGTCATCTACATTACCCTGACATTTGCATTACGTACATTGTAAAATATACCTCAGTGATGCATCATATTGATGCTTGAAGACAGCAAGATATTGTAGTGACACACCCAAATGAAATGTGGGCGTAATTTACAAGAAAAGTTGACGTTTGTGATTTTGATATATTACTTCCAAAGGGCATTCCAATAAAATCAAGCTTGGGTATAGATATTACACTGAGAGGTAAAGGACTTGTTTGTTTATGATGGGATGATGTTTATGTTGGTGTGAATTTATCAGGTGACATCATTCTCACATGGCGAGACAGTTCAGCAAGAAATATTTGAAGTGTGATGAAATATAGGGTTGTTCGTGTGTTGAAATGGAACCCATTGTTTTCATTACAACTACACTTATACAGGGTCATAAATCTAACAAAAGCTCTAATGTTTGAGGGATATATTTGATATGAAAACACATAAAACCAGGGTGTAATGTGGCCTGGTGCTGTTCACAGAGCTACAGAATATTGATCAGAGGTGTAGGTGTTGATGTCAGATTCTCACCATTATAGATTCCTTGGAATTCCACATTCATCACTTGTGACAGGGTCCGGCTGATGTAGTTATCAAGATGGGTCTAATGATATAAAAATATGTTAGTTTCATGCTTTAGATTATCAAATCCTCTTCCCTTTGATCTGTTCATACTTGGATGACATGCATGTCTGTTGATAGGGTTTAGTGTTCTCTACACAATTAATGACTTGGGAGTGTGATATGGCATTTGTAAGTCTATCTATTGCTGGTATGGTTTTGTGTTTGGTGAACAACTTGTGAATTGGGAGTGTGGTATGGAATATGTAAGTCTGCCTATTGTGGTATGGTTTTGGTTTTTGTGAACAACTTGTGAAGTGGGAGTGCTGTAGGGCATATGTAAGTAATATATTGCTGGTATGGTTTTGTGTTTGGTGAACAACTTGTGATATAAAAGTGTGGTGTGGCACTTGTAAGTCTGTCTATTGTATTATGGTATTGTGTTTGGTGAACAACTTGTGATATAGAAGTGTGGTGTGGCATTTGTAAGTCTGTCTATTGTATTATGGTATTGTGTTTGGTGAACAACTTGTGAAATAGAAATGTGGTGTGGCATTTGTATGTCTGTCTATTGTATTATGGTATTGTGTTTGGTGAACAACTTGTGATATAAAAGTGTGATGTGGCATTTGTAAGTCTGTCTATTGTATTATGGTATTGTGTTCGGTGAACAACTTGTGATATAAAAGTGTGGTGTGGCATTTGTAAGTCTGTCTATTGTATTATTGTATTGTGTTCGGTGAACAGCTTGTGATATAGAAGTGTGGTATGTCCCTGCATATGTAAGTCTATCTATTGGTGGTACATGTGTTCATATGAAAGCATATTCCTGTTAAGGTGAAGTGGTACCACCTTGAGGTGATACAGCCAATTAGATACTGTGGTACAGCATGAAAGATGAAGTGGCACAACCAGTATGATGGACTGAAGGAATCAAATATCATCACGTTAACGATTGAGGTAAACACCTAAATGCCGGCCTGTATATCCATTTGCTACAAAATAAGTGCACTAACACTTAGAAATGTTTATACTTTCTCATAATAAAAAAATTCTTCCGCATGTGGTTAGATGTTTTAAGTACCTGTACTTGAACGTGATTAATTACACTTCTTTGAAAGCTGTAAAGATGGTGTGTGATTCCTTATATGCCTCTGTAGTCAAGAATATGGCACAGTAGTTAATAAGAGTGCCAAGCTCAGTAGAATGCACATTGGATTCCTTTTCAGTTGGAAAGATAGATCATGTTGTCTAGATTTGATTGATAAATAGGCATCTCAGACAAAATTAAATGCTCTGCATTCAGATGAGCAGACATTCCTTTAGTAAAAAGTTCAAGTGCTTTTTTCTGTGACCTCACTAAAGCCTACCTTATCTCTCCTGCAACTGATGCTGATTGTAAACTGTAAACAGATGTAGGGGATGATGATGTGGATCAATGCTCACAAGGTCAATCCCTGGATTTGATGCTCTGTGCGCCATTATGTACAGAGCACCATTATATAGCTGGAATATTGCCGAGTGATGATTGATAGAGCAAACAAGCAAAACCTAGTCTCAAGTTAAGAGCCTCTCAGTTTAAACTCTCTGTGTTGTGTGGTACTAGACACAGACAGGGTTTGCCTCTGTTTAATGTATGGCCTAGTCGTTCCGCATCCGGAAACCTTGTTATCATTACAACTGATCTGATGGGGATTTAGTGGTCATGATGACTGTAAGACATCTCCACAAGCAAGAGCATGAACTGACTGCAAAGAAATAAAAACAAAACTGTTTCCACCCTTGTAGAATTTGGCTGGAATATTTTGGCTCTATTGTAGCACCAACATTGGCTCTTAAGAGTTATGTTCCTTCTATGTCCCTCCTTGGCCAATCAAATTACACCTATCATGTTACTTGAACTAGCTTCAAACAAAATGACAGCACCTAATAGTGGATAATTAAGATTTATATTGCTTAACTCCGAAAGAGCATCAACTTACTTTGGGACCTTCATTAATAAAATGACGATATTTAGAAACTATTTTGCAATGCCCTGAACACATGCATTCTAAATCTTCCAATTGATGTAAATCTGCAGTGCAGTTTAGAATCTGGATGTTGATTTCCCTTGAGTCAGGGAGAACAGAAGTTTTACATTCAGGGAAGATGTGGCTATTTGTCTGTAACTGAACCAAGTGTTGATGCCACCACCAGCTGTATTGCATTGTTCAGTGTTCACAGTGTAGCATTGCTCACAGTGTCCCTCACTTGCTTGACATTGCTTTAGTCTTAGAAGAATTTACAGTTAAATCCATTCAGATACTGGTAAAGATTCATTTAAACTCACTTTCATTAACAAGTTTTCATAGATCATATCGTATTCGCACCAAGTTAGAGCAAGCACCTCTTGACTTCCACACCAATACTACTGATATAACCCAATACTCCCTACAAAAACTCAGAATGTACAGGACAATCTTTTCTTTTATAAACATAAAACAACAGATGAAGTGGTACATAATTGTTGAGAAACAATTTTAGTTTTATGAAGAATTAAACTTTGCTGGTCTGTGACTACCACAGAATCAGTAAAGTATGTTCTTGTATGATTTCAATATGGGTCCACTTAGGCTGAAGGGGTCGTTGTTGACACGGGTACTACAGATATGTATTCCAGGTATATTTTTGTATACAGATATGTACCCTAAACAAAGTCAAAATACAAGAATGTATCCAGTGCCCTAAACAAGGGACAAGTCCATATTCCACAACCTAAACCCAAA